GTAAAAAATTTTTTACTAAAAGTAAGTTAAAAGTTCATGAGCAGATACACACTGGAGAGAAACCTTATAGTTGTGTGGTATGTGATAAAGGGTTATTAAATAAAAATAGTGTAAAGGTTCATGAGTATATGCACACTGGTGAGAAGCCATACAGTTGTGTTATACACCGTAAATAACTTGGAATTAAATGTAACCTCAAGAGACATAAGAAGAGACCCATAGAGGAATCTTAGAGCTAGGCAAGAATGTCAAAACTACATTTGACTGGAGATTTTCATTGATTAGTGTCACCTAAGATAATTGATCAATGAAAATTATGATGAAATAAATTAAATTATGAAACATACTTAACTAGTAGAATGTAAAGTCTCCAGTTGGTACAGTTTTCATTATTCCAATTTGCTTTTTTTTTCCCTCTATCTTTATTTCTTCAACCTTGTAAACTTTCACTCCTTATCAGCTAGTGGAGTCTTATATTGTTATTTTCTTATGGTATAGCTACTAAGGCTTTCTTTTGTTGACTATAGGGATAACACCTGGCTAGAAACACCCACTGATAATCTGGCTATTTAACATTAAATAAAGTATAAATTTACTGGTTTATTATGTGTTTCTAATTGTATAAACTCATTTATTAGTACTGAATAAGCTATAAAGGTACTTTTACATAATTTATGTGTTATGTTTGTAAAACCACACTTCATACTTCCATGGTGGAAATTGATAAAAACTGACATGTCTGCAACTCTCTTAAAACAGGGTAAAAACATGTGAAACAGTATTTTTTATCCACTTAGAGACATTATCCTTTTAACCATGTAATAAGCATTGATTTGGTACTCAAATGAATATTTTCTATATGCTGTTATGGGAAGATTTGTATAATTAATTGCTAAGACCTTTTTGCCATTCAAAATACATTTAAAAAAGTTTTTATTTGTGACAATCAGATAAATTATTATGCAAGAACACTACATAACAGCTCATATCATTGATTACATTAGGGTTTTAGTGTGAAAGTGGGTGTTACATTTTTATACATGAAGATTATATTTACACTATAAAGCAGCTCATATCATTAATTACTCTATGGTTTTAGAGTGAAGGTGGGTGTTAGATTTTTATATGAAGACTACTTACACTATATAGTAGCTCATATAATTGATTACTCTAGGGTTTTAGTGTAAAGGTGGGTGTTAGATTTTTATATGAAGACTATTTACATTATGTAGGAGCTCATATCATTGATTACTCTAGCAACTAAATTAACTTGTCTGCATTAGGAAAGTGGTTGTGAGACTTATTTTTGTTACAGAAGGTTGCACAGAAACACATTTTTATCAACTATGTTTTCTATATTGTTACGTCTCTGGTCGTTTGTTAATTTCCTATAATAACTCTTTCCAAAGAACTTAAGCGATACAAGTCCTTTCTTAAATAAAACTAGTTTATTCTTTCTCAATACAACTTGGCAATACACTTAATTTCCACAGTCACTTAAACTTAAACACACGCTATAATTCACGCACTTTACTTGATCTATTATATGACTCTATATCTCTCTATCTGCAATTATCTACGCTGTCACTTCGATTCTCTCTCTGCTTTATTTGCCGGTCTTATATACTAAAATAGAGTGTGCCTAGAAAACACTCCAGACTTCATGATCCTTCTAGAAACTCATCACTTTTTTACTAGTGTCACGAGAATTCTGCTGTTGTAACACTGCCCCTTTAGTATTGTTCGTCCCGAACAATAGCAACTTACATTAAACCAATAGATAATTAACAATAATACAGAATTTACAAACACAAAATTAAAATTCAAGAAAGTCTTAATTTTATGGGACGTATCTTCGTCCATAGTGGTCTCCATCTCGTTGGCTTCTGCTTCACGTGGGGTTCATATGCTCTATCACGAAATGTCCTATTATTGGTAATAGCCACATCAGTGGTAATAACTTCATCAAGGGTTTCACTGTTCCCTTCTCAAAACCAGGTAGAGTTTCTTTTTTGACAGTGGCTTTTTCAGGTGACACGTCTTCAGTAGCATCATTTGTTCCATTGTTCACTTCGTTCCAACTGAAATATCCTGGACCATGATAAGGCCAAAGCCTGTTGGCATGTGCTACCTTTGGCTTACCTCGTTGCCCACATTTTATTCGGAAAGTCACGTCTG